ACAGGAGGGAAACAATAGCAGCAGTTATGAGAACGGTCAGGCCTCACGCCTTTAGACTCCCTCGTGGCAGATTCGTTTGTAGGCTGACTTCAGAGCCTGCCCTTTCTGCGAGAGAGGTGTTTGTTGGGTGTGTTTCGGGGACCTGCTTCAGTCCATTCCAGTCGATGGTCCCAGGCTGACAGACCCAAGAAACATGGCTTGTTTTGGAGGGATGGGAGTTGGGTGGTGAATATGTGCCTAAGGGCAGGGAGGGTTCTGGAGAGGTCCTTGGCTCTGGTAGAGTAATCCACCCACTCGCTGGCTAACCATCCCCGCCAGAGATAAAATGAGTTCTGGTAGCACCAGAGGTTTACCTGCTGCTTCACACAAAGATAAGCGAATTACAATGGAATTACATACAGGGCCTGTGATCCTTGCAGAACTTTAACAAACGAGTCTTCCCTGCCATCCCTGTGTGGTAGGTAAACATTGTTTTACCCTTGATTTACAGAGGGGGAAACTGAGGCATGGATAATTTAAGTAACTTCCCTGATGCCTCAGAGCTGGAAATTCCTGGCTCTTCGGCCTGTTCTTATTTCACACCTCTCTGTGCCATGGGTTTTATCCCTTGGCTCTTAAAGATGTTTCAGAAGAGCGTTTGTTTATGCCTTTGCAGATATAATCAACAAAACTTCCTGCAGAAGGTACCCCTCAGAGCCTCTTTGGTGCATAAAAACGTAGATATGTAGATCCTCCTACAATAGTTCATTCCTCCTCCATAAATTATTCGACTCAAGTGGTGGAGGGGGGGTTACATACATATTTGGGGCACGTGAAAAGAAGACTGCGGTGGCATTACCATAAGGAGGGATGAGCCTTGGGGAATACCGTTCCCCAAACAATCTCCTTGAATGTAGAGACTGTCATTCGTCAGAAGGAGAGCGGGTCACTACTACCCATTCCATTTTCCTTCCCTCCCTGCAAGATTGTCCCAATTTTAATGGATGATATCTTGTCCCGCAAATCTTGTTTGGAAGATGTTAATAAGACTCTAAGGGTACGTCTAGACTGAAAAAAACCAAGCCCACAGCAGCAAGTCTCAGAGTCCAGGTCTACAGACTCTGGCTCGCACTACGGCACTAATAATAGCTGTACGCTGTAGACATTCCCACTTGGGCTTCAAAACCCGGTGGAGCAGTCGGCCTCAGAGCCAGTGTGGGAACATCTACATGGCTATTTTTAGCAGAAGCCCTGCAAGCCCAAGTCTGTAGACCTGGGCTCTGAGACACACTGATGCAAGGTTTTTTGGTTATTATTTTAATTTTTTTTTTACAATATAGATGTACCTGCTGTAACTCTTGGTCCAACTTTGTAGCATCAGTCCCACGGTCGGATAGTGTTTCAAGGCATTGTCATTGCATCGTGATGTGCCAGTGTGCCACAAACTTTATGAGAGTGAGATGCATGAGTTGTCTCATTGCCCAAACTTGCACAAGTGGCAGGCAGAGGTTAAGGGATAGATTTGACCTATGTCCTGCTTGTGATTACAGATCCTTCTCTCTGCTATCCCCACTTGATCTCAGGGAAGCATCCAATTTAGACTGTCACTGCACTTTTGGAGTGCCCCAGCCAAGGAAACAGTGCCTCCAGCATGCTTCCTTCGGGGGTCGATATCTCCCCCCGTGCCCTCTTCTTCCTGTTAAAGAGCCCTTACAGTTTTGTCCTTGGTACTTTTCTCTGTCCCTCAGAGACATCTCATAGGTAGCTTTCAACCTTGAACATCAGTCCTGTGCTGGTGACCCCCAACTCTACTGCTTCTCTTTATCAATCTCTGATTGCTCTCTGCCAGTCTTGATTGTCACCTTATGACTAGGTCACGTTACTGATAATTGGATCCGAAACTGTAGTGCACGTTCCTGGTGAAAAGTCCTCTTGATTCCATATCTCTGATTTCACTGTTGCTCTCCTGAACCTTGACTTTCCCCCCAGGGCCAGAAATCTTGGAGCAATCCTAGATCTTGGGCTCTAATTGCCTTCCCTTCTAAGTCTCCCTATTTTCCCATCGTGGTTTTCTCAAACCCTTCCTGTCTAGTCTGACCTCTTCTCTAGTCTTGACTTCCTCTTTGTCTCTTCCTGATGGGGGACTCTTCACACTAGTCGCTTTTTGTACTGCTCCCCTTTCCTTCCAAGCCACCTCCTTTCTTTTCCACCATCTTCCTTTTCTCTTTCACTCATACAATGCACCCCAGTGTGATAGATGCTGTGATACTCCCTGTGCACTAGCTCTCACCTACCACACCTATTAATTAGGAACGAGAGAGACCAGGACCTGACAAGATTCACACACTGTTATAAGCTACACTCTTCCTGTTGTAACCAGGGTTGGGCATTTATTCCACTTCATCTGGAACCCACAAGCCCCATTGATTTGCATAAATAATAAGGGGACTAGTCCTGCTTAATCCTATTTTCCTCTCCCGGTTGCCTCACTTTCATTTCTCTTCTCCTGAACTTTATCCGGCTTCCTATTCATTTTTCTTTCCTGCCTGTTCTTTGTTTCTTTCCTCCAAGGTGGGTTCTGCTGGGGTTTCTCTCCCCCCCCCCCGCCCCAGATGCTGATTATCTAATTGTCCTTCCCCTATTTGCTCGGTTCCATCCATTCAAAGTGCCGTTCCCAGGGTAAAATCTCGCTCCCGTCACTCTCTGGTGTAACCAGGCGCAATAAACACCCTTTTCCAGCTGTTGCTCCCACAAAGGGTCCGATTCTGGTATCTTCCCAGTTCTGATTATCGTTCCCTTAACTGCCTGGTGTTCTAGCCATTACTGCCCGAAGGCCTAGCCTCCAACATCTTCCTAGCTCTCAAATCTGCCCAGTTCCCACTGTCAAGCCCCAAACTGCCTGGCTCCAGTGGTTACCCCCAGTGACCGATTGTTACTCTCCTGTCTGAGCTGCCACTTCTATAAATGCCCCGCTCCAACTGTTGTTAGTCCCTGGTTCAAACCATCATACCCATGACGCACTGGTTCCGTTGTGCGTCTCATTCCAACTGTCCCTCCAATATCTGTCCCGCTCCAATTACCATGACTCAGCTTCCAACGGCCATTCCCATAACTCCTCGTTTCCAACGGTCCCTTGTTGGTCCCGGTGGCCACTGCCTTTCTTGGTACGTCCACACTGCAGCTGGGAGTGAACCGTGCAGCCCAGCAGACAGACTCATGCTAGCGCCGCTGAAGCTACCACGCTAAAAATAGCCATGTGGCTGTTGCGCCATTAGCGGTGGCTCTGGTGGACCCAGCGTGTGGGGCAGGCTTGGACCTGGGTGGCTTACCAAAGGCTACAATGCCCACACTATTGTTTTTAGTAGGCTAGCCAGCACAAGGCTCACTCCCAGCTGCAGTGTAGACATTCCCCTGGCGTTCTCTCTTCCCCGCTCATAGGGAGATCATCACAAACCTCCTTGGGCCAGAGAGGCGAAGAATACGCCTTGATCAACACTTAAAAAATAGGGTGACGTGTCTATGTTGGGCATGGGGGTGAAAAAACACCCCCCCCCCCC